CAGTTCGAGCCAACGCCAGTGGCGGTACACTTCCGGGAGACGCAGCGATACAGCATTATTCCGCAGAGCAGTCACTGCCTGGTTCAGTGAATCGAACAGTTGTCTCTGACCAGTGTTTCCCGGCTGTGGACAGGACAATTCGGGGTGTCGGGAAATGATACAGTGTGCATGTTCCACAAATAGTCCGATAGCCTCATGTACCCCTTCACCGGTCCTCGCTGAACACTCAGCGAATAGGGATCCACTCTTGCGAGCGAATACCTCTCGCTCAGCATGGGGTACATAGAGGCCACCCGCAATGTCCGCCTTGAGCCCAAGCAACATGACCTTCATCTTAGGCTGCGATTCGTTTTCGCCCTTGTCGAGTGGATGGCAACGGCCGATGAGCTACTGTAGGCGAACGGCTTCGACCCATGTATGTGGCGAGCTGAGGTCATAGACCAAGAAGATACCGCAGTAACTGTAATAAGACACATAGAATTCTGTAGCGGACGCACACCCTGCTGTAGAAAAGCAGAAATCGATGTGGTACTGCGAGTCGCCACAGCTATACGTGGCGTGAGACCGGTCGTCTAGTCTCGGATCAAACTCATCCTCTAGCATCTTGGAGCCACCTGTCAAGTCATCGTACATTATCTGAAGTTTCCGAAGAGTCAGTAGTGCAACATTTAAGATCGTCGTAGTGTAGCCTGCATGTTTCAGGTCGTTTTTTAACCTTCTTGTACAATGATCTCTTTCCAACGCCTGCTGGCCCCAAAACAGTAACGTACAGAAGCCTTGGCTCCTTCGCCGCACGCATCCGACTGATCCACGCTGTATGTGCCTCTGGCGTCCATCGGTTTTCGTGTATTGCCTTAGGAGTAGCCTGCGACGGGCAGTTGACAGGAATCTCGATCTCCGAGGAGACGACTGACAAATCGCTCATGGCCGGCTTGTTTGCCATTCCTCCCGTCGTTTCCGTCAGAGAATGCAGCTGCCTGGGGTGCAACAACTTGCATATCCAATTTCGGGCCTCGGAAATCATGGTTTAACCTTGTCGTCGTTGTCTCAATGGTTGTTGTCGGACCGGGAGCAAACGTGGTCATTGTTGCAGGACTGGAAAGTAAGGTAAGTTCAGACAATCTCTTCAGAACACCAGTACCAACAGCGGCGACCAGAGTTGGACCCGAGGACCAACAGCCTGTCTTTTGGAAGAGGATCGTTAAACCAACAACCCATCAACGGCAGAAGTGAGCCAGTAGAATTCCGCTTTGCCCCTATGCTGTAATATCTACTTGGTGTCCATTCAGGTTATTCGCTGGAGCTGACAATATCAGTATGGCGACCGGACCAGTGGTATGACGGCAAGCTACACCACGCCTATCTACTGCCTCAGAGAATTCTTCGTGGTTGGTGTGTGCGAATGAGAGGCTGACAATGGTTGTTGGGGAAGAGGGGCGGTAGGAGTCCAGGACGCAGGTATAATCGCGCCGCACTGATAGCCCGCTCTGTCAGGTATGCTGTCGTAAGCATAGAGGTCCTCCAGATCCTCCTCCTCTCTGCTCACCCCTCTCGGATCGTTGGAAAAGGTACTAGCTGAAGGAGGTCAGTGGTTGTTACTATTTCCTGCGATCGTGGACATCGAATTTGAAATCTACCTTAAGAAGGGTGAGAGATCCGTACAAATATTGCGCAAGTCCTCGAACTGCCCTCTGGAGGAGCCAAAACAGGCGACGGATACTTGTCTCTCTTCAACTCACTGGATAGAGCCGTTGATTTATCTCCATTCATTCTAATGGATTGCTCTTGTCACTGGTCCTAGGCAGGGCTCATGAATGTGTCCGGAACACACGTTGATATTCTCAATAAAGTCTTGTGCTCGTTTGCTTTTGTTCGCATTTCCTTCAGTCCACTTGTATGGCTGACCCCGACGCAACGCAAGGTCTTTTACAACTTTGTCGTTACCCGGGACATGCTGTTCGTTCTACCACAAGAATTGAAATGTATGTTCCTGCTGATGCACGGTGTGATTTCCCCCCTGCAAGTCGACCTGTGCGAATAGCTGGGCCAGCTTTCATGACAGTTAAGTATACACCCGAATTCAAGCCACATTCCTTTAATACAGCTCCTCCATTGAAGGAAGCAACCCCGCATTCGCGCCTCCGCGATGTCACCAAACATATTCAGGGGCAACAACTTCTCTTCGGCAATGCGCCCCCCACCATCTGCACCCGATTACTGAGACTCCTGGCTGAGCTCTCAAGCTGGATACAACACCTCGACCGGAAGTCGGCTTCAGCACCTTTTTATTATAGACGCAACCCAGCTGTGATTAGCACCGATGCCATGTGGTCCAGTGATGTTGATTCACGAACCTGGGCGATGTGCTCTGCTGCATGGCCGGATGCAAACCTTGATTAAGGAGGTCAGCACAGCAATTATCCGCGGCTGACCCCTTGCTCCCATGCTTTCCTTGGTATTCAGGCCTGCCAGGTTTGGTGAGCATCCCATTTATGGAAGCTGTGTGCAGGCGGAACCAGACTTCCAAAGATCCGGCACGGCTCGCCTGGAAGAGACCCCAATTGATATGCACGCGCCGAGCTCATTTCTGGTTGCTCCCCCGAGGCAGAGGCCAGTGGAGGGTTACACCAGCATCGCAAAGAGGCTGGAGAAAGCGGGTATGACTTCATCTCGCCTCGATGGCAATGCATCGGGTCCGACCATTTGGTGCTGAGGCCAAGGGATGGTGAGGGTCTGGACTTTTCTGATCCCAGAAGGATAAATATATCGCTGACGCCTCCTGCCCGACGTTCGGATCCTCCTTCGCTTTTGGTCTCACCTCCCGTCTCCGTCAGACTTGTGACAAGATGCATCGCCAGCTGCTGCTCTTAGGCCTGGGGGCCGCCGACGTCCTGTGCAGTTCTGTAGCAACGCTACCTCGACAAGACGTTACAGCCGCCGGTGGTGGCTCGCCCCTGCTGGACTTTTCCGACGGAGCGCCTTTGCAACCGACGACTTGGAATGGCAAGAAGTATGGCTGCAAATGCTATCTTGGCGATAAGTGCTGGCCAGCAGCCAACGACTGGAAGAAGCTCAACAGCACGGTGGGCGGAAATCTCATCGTAGATATACCGCCCGGTGCACCCTGCCACAAGACCTTCCAGGGTCCGTTGGGCACCTTGAACACGTACAACGCCGCCGAGTGCGCCAAAGTACAGGCCAACTTTGCCAACGAGACATGGACGTGAGTGCGCCGCATGCTAATGGAAGATACAATGCAGCCGCTGACCGTATCGCAGTGTCGAGCAACCAGCTGCTGAGCTCTGGACATACTGGACCAACGACACCTGCCGGCCCACCACCGACCCTTCGGCACCATGCACCCTGGGCAACTATCCCATCTACGTAATTATGGCCAAGACGAAGGAGCACATCAAAGCCGGCATCGACTTTGCTCGGCAGAAGGGCGTTCGCATGATTGTCCGCAACACCGGCCACGACTTCATCGGCCGTAGCACCGGCTGGGGCTCGCTCGTGATCAACACACACAGCTTCCAGGACGTCAGCTGGATCAAGAAATACACCGGACCGGGTAGCTACACCGGCGGCGCAGTCAAGATAGGTGCAGGCGTCCAGGGCAGGAACATCCTCACTCAGGGCCATGCTCAGAAACCACCAGTGGTCATCGTCACAGGCGAATGTCCTACCGTTGGCATCGCCGGTGGCTTCATCCAAGGCGGAGGACACGGGCCGTGGACCACGCTCAAGGGCTTCTCGGCCGACAACGTGCTCTCATTCGATGTCATCACCGCTTCAGGGCAGTTCACCACCGCGAACGAGGTGCAGAACCCCGACCTCTTCTGGGCACTCAAGGGTGGCGGCCCGGCCTCCTACGCCATCATCCTCTCCGTAACTATGAAGACATTCCCCGACGTCAAGTCCGCCGGCGCGATCCTGTACATGAACTCGACGCTGACCAACGACACCGACCTGTGGTGGTCCGGCATGACATCCTTCCACAAGTACTCGAACCACTTCGTCGACAGCGGGCTGTACGCCTACTTCGAGGTCCTCCCCCAGACGCTGCGCGTGCGTCCCTGGGTGGCAATCGGCAAGACCGCCAAGGAGCTGAAGAGCATCCTGCAGCCCTTCCTCAGCGAGCTCGACAAGAAGAAGGTCCCCTACGAGTTCGCGATCAAGGACTTCCCCACCTTCTACGACCTGTACATCGACATGTTCGAGGACGAAGCAGCTGGCGGATCGGCGCTGACCGGCGGGTGGATGTTCAACCACGACGACGTGGCCAACCGCAACGACCAGATTATCAACGCCATGAAGACCATCCTCGCCCCGGCGCCGGATGTCTTTGGGTTCATGATCGGCCATCTCTTCAATCCGGGGTATAACGTCCCCGTGCCAAACAGCGCGACAAACCCAGGTTGGAGAAACGCGACGGATTTCCTCATCACGACGATTGTTGTCGAAGACGGCGCGTCGCTGGCGAGGAAGGCGTATCTGCAGGACACCCTGACGAACAAGATGGATGCCGCCCTGCGCGCAGTTAGTCGCAGCGGGACGACGTATGTCAATGAGGCCGATCCGTTCCAGCCCGACTGGCAGAGCCACTTCTGGGGGTCGCAGTATCCCACGCTGAAGAAGACCAGGAGCAAGTGGGATCCTCTGGGTATCTTCTATGCTGTTAGCACACCCGGCACGGAAGGTTGGGAGGTTATTCAGCATGGAACGAAGTTGTGCAAGGCTCTGTAGGGTGCATATGGCAAAAATAGATTGACCGCAGGGATAATGCAACAACCATCCAGCTCACCATCTGTGTTCCCCTTCAGTCCAAGGTTGTCCCCCCCGGAGCAGAAAACAGCCAAAAAAGAAACTGTGGAGGAGCTGGGAGTCGAACCCAGTACCTCGTGCAGGTAACATGTTGCCTGATGATTGCTCACCAAGATGGAATGCTAAGCACGCGCTCTACCAGATGAGCTACACCCCCAAGAAGAAGAAGAAATTGGTGAACAGAGTGGGATTCGAACCCACGCCTCTTCCGAGACTACGAATCGGGATGGTCAACCCAGATGGGTGATTTACCTGAACGTAGCGCCTTAGACCGCTCGGCCATCTGTCCTTGGTTGTTGATGGAAGCGGGATCGTTATCAGAGTTTGTTCGATGCAGGTTGTGCGACATGAGTCGTCGGTGCGCTAAGTGGGAGCGGTGCCCTTGGTGGAGAATGAATGACTCGGGGACCACGCAAGATGCGACATGGGACGGAGCTATAGGGTAGGGGCGCAACATAACCAGCTGGACTATTCAGATACGGAATCCTGTTGTCAAAAACGAAAAGAACTAGCATTTCCAGAGGACACAAAGGTGCAGCTGGGAGGGGGAAAAAATCCTTGATCAAAAGCTTAACAAAACAGCCCGATCCGAGAGATAAACCAGCAAGACCAAACCAGTGACTTAAGACAATCTACGCCAAACACACCTGCAAACACAGACCAGACCCAGACGCCATCCAAACAGGTATCTACCCAGAACAGTCACACTCGTCAAGCACTAAACGCCCTCGCCGACTTCCCGCCCTTAACCTTCTTCTTCAGCGCCTCGATAATAGCCCTCAAACCCGTCAGCAAATCACCATTGAACACGGCATCCGCAACTGCCTTGTTGATCTCCGTCGAGTTGAGCCACTTGTCGATCAACTCCCTGTCCACCTCAACGAACGCCCTCCTCGCTAGCGGCAGCACCTTGCTGCACTCCTTCAGGTCGTTGATGTTGTTTACGCCCAGGAGGGAGAGGCGGACGTATTCCTTGGCGTAGTCCTGGAGAAGGTTGGGTTAGCGGGCAACAGGGGGAAGAGAAACTGGAAATGGGAAGACATACCTCATTCCAATGCCCCTGATCGGAAGCAAAGCTCTGGAACTCCGGTGCTATCCTAGGGTCTTGCGCGAGGTTGATGTCGCTTTGGAACTTGAACACACGCGGTGGCGCGGGGCCGAGGGTCTGCTTGTAGTACTTGACATCCCAGACTCCGGGGGAAGAATCTTGCGGGTCTCCGGCGCGGGACGGATCGACGAAGCGTTGTTGGCTGGTGCTGTGTGCGCCGAGGAGAGCCGTGAGACCGTGGGCGCTGATCGTCTTGTCTTGGAAGAGCTTGATGAGAGTGTCTGCGTCCGAATTGACGTCGGGCAGCAGACCGGGCGGCGCAGGCGTGGCGTTGTCCTTACGGCCGACGTAGGAGCGTATACGCGGACCGAGGGGACAAGTCACCGTTGCCACGGTGGCTGCCATCTGTATCAGATCGGCATACGTAACGCCGTACGATTTGTACAGCCCATACAATTTGGTGATGTAGGCAGCCACCTCTTGCAGGCCGTTGTTCTCCGGCTTGGAGAGCTCCGAGCCGGACAGGATGAGCGACCCGTCGGCACCACCGCCACCCGTGCTTTTGGACCAGCCGGCAGCGTCGTGGAAGCCGAGCCGTATCGACGCCCGGGCAAGGTTGTTGCAGCGCCCTGCCTTGCCGAGGAACTTGGTCCACATGTCTGCCGATATGTAGGTCCATATGCAGCAGGTGTCGGCTTTGCATGCTGCCGATCCCTTGGCCGGGACAATACCGCGCCATGTTTCTGCGCTCTGGCCTGTCTCCAAGCCGGTGATGATGTTCTTGACGGAGCGGCCGACGGGTGTGAGCTGGCTGTCTGATAGGGTGACGAGGTCGCCTATTAGTTCGTGCGAGTCACCGTCATCGACGCCAGTGTCTGGTGTCTCGCGTGACATGAGGTCGTTTAGCGTTTTGTTCATGCCTGGCCATGCTCTGGCAGACCCGAGGAATGATAGGAGGACGCATGCTCGGACAGAACGTCTAAGATGCATCGCGATAGAGGAGAGATTGTGCGGCGAAGCCAGGAAGATACCGCCTGGGGGAGAAAATAGAGCGCGAAGTAGTGGAAGACGCAAGGTGCCGACATCACTGGATGTCTGATACCGCCTCCTCAGCATAGAGTATATAACCTACCGCGAAACCGAGCATCAATGGCGATGGCCACTCCAGCAATATCGTCCAAAGCCCTTTTTGGACGGTCTAGAAGCTCAAAGGCAAGTAGTAAGCGATAGTTGCCCTTGGCATGGACCGAAACAGCAGCATCGGATGTTAATAAGTCCAGTGGACGACCTTCTCTTTGGTGGTCGAGGGCAATGTGGCTTTCGGGACTGTACAGCATTGGTTGGAGAATACGCCTGGGGGTTGCTGCCCACGCTCTGGATTGCTTCGGGAACCTGAATGCATGGATGGGCTGGACTGCACACTTACCCAGGAAACCCGTCGGCAGGGACTTTCAACTCCTCTATGCCACCCTGAGAGAGAAAGGCTGCGGTCGTGCCTCGTGACTGGATAGATATCCGATGCCAAGACACTTTCCTGTCTTCATCGACTCGTCGAGCAGAGCGAGTAGTACATACATATTGGTGTACACTTTTGAGACAGCCCGGTCCAATGACGCAAATAGAACCCAAAACGCCGGCGATCTAGACCGGGGAAGCAGCCCGAAACAAAGCCAGGTGCCGCCCCCGGTGGCGCTGGGCTGAGCTCTCAGCTACAAGCTAGAGAACGCCCACCTCGTGGATCTTCTTGGCACGCATGTTGCTACCGAAACAGAGTTTGAGATCAGATCAGCGACAAGGAACAATGGCGATCAGCTCCCGGAGGTGTGGTTAACATGGTTCCCGGAACTTAAGCTTTTGACGGCCAGCTCGGCTTTGTCAGGGTCTGGATGTGTCGAATGTCAGCCATCGCAGATTCAACCGAGTAGTTCGGAGAGAGGCAAGTCTATCGCCAGAACTTATTGGTCCGTCAAGCCCTGGTGCCTATATTCTTGCTTCCAGGCCCGTTCGAAGGATCAGACTCGAAACGAGAGCTCCTCATCAAACCCTTTTGGGCGATCCGTTGGAGGGCAACGATATTGAAGCGGTTCGCGGGGAATCCTGGAGCTCAGCTCCGATCTGCCGCTCCTTGGCAGTTCGGTATTGGGCGGCAGTGGACGAGCTTACCATTGATACCTGAACATGCCATCAACCCTCAAATAGAGGGGGAGAGACATCTTGTACATCGCTTGGATTGAATGGTCAGCTTTCAGACCATAAGGTATGTATGTTCTGCTGGGGAGTTCTTGTCTTTCTCGGAACGGCCCCACATCACGTGATGTATCACAATCCTGCAACAAAGCCCGTCCCGTCGCACCACGATACACAATCCACGACCACGACAGCTACAACAACAGGAACAACGCAGAACAACTTGCGATCCCTTGCTGGAACCTGTGTAAACTGGTAATTGTCCTTCAAAAAGCCTCCATTCCTCTCAGATCTCCGTAAAAATGTGCAAAGATGCAAATATCCCGAAACTCAACTCTCCCGACCCCCCCCTCGAGCAACAAAAGCAAAAGGAATCTGTTCGAGACACTCTCGAACGCGTGCTGCGACTGACCCTGACCTGATTTGAACAGATAACCTTTCGCTGTCACGGTTCTGTTTGAAGAGAACTGGAGGCGAACGCGCTAGCCGTTGCGCCACAAGGCCTGTTTGATGTGGGATCGGGATGGTATTCAGGCTGAATACAGGTGTCCGAAGTTTGTCCCACTCATGGAAGACATGCGAAGGAACCCCACTCGTCCGAATTCCCGAGGAAGAGTTGTGGAATGCGAACCAACATCCCCTTTCGTGACTTGGTCACCACCACGTCACCACCACATGGCACACTCTCGTCCCAAGCAACTCGTAGGATAAGAGCAAGCCGACCTGCACCTCCGTCAGGGGAGAACGAACTCCTCAACCACTTTTTTGTCCGGCCGCACCCAGCTGGTCTTTGCCTCCTCGCACCTCCACGTCTCTTTGGTGTAATGCACCCGCCGCCACAACTCCTCATACGCAAGGATCCTGTCAGATTTGACGAACTCGTTGATCGGATGTTCTTTTCCTTTTGACCTTGGACAGGTTGTCGACTTGTGGCGGGCAAGGACTACGTTCAACCAAAAGACGATCCGCGTGGTGTCCAGGTTGTGTTCGAGATGCTCGAGAACCAGGGAATAGTCGTCCGGCGTCAACTCGGACCCGTCTGTCACCGTCTTCAACGCGTACTCCATACTCAGCCTGACGTGGTACAACCAGAAGACCGTGCCCGTTCTGCAAAGGGAGATATTGAGTTAGCAACAGGACCCCGAAACGCGAAGCCGAGCAGAGCAGTGTCGCAGACCTTGATTCTGCTGGCACCTCGCGACCGGCTGCCCTCGCCTAGAAGCTCTGCACAAGCCGGGCGGACTTATCGGCCACTTCGAGGAGCGGTCGACGTTTGTTCTCAGACTGAGCTAGCGTCGTGAAACCAGCCCTCAAGTAGGTGTGGTGTGTCCAATGAGTAATAGTGCCATGCTGGAAGCTGTCCCAGAAGGTTTTAGATTCCGTCATGGTTTCGCTCGCGGAACTATTGCTCAGGAGCCGTTCTGCCATTGTCGGACTGAGGATTCTGATGGATGACGGAGCAGGGGCCGTCAGGGCAGTTGAACACAATGAATGGGCAACAGTGAAAGTCTTGTTATCTTTTTGGTCTTCGCAACTGTCGACACAACTTCCAACGATTCTTGAACTGAATTCGGAGACCAATGACAAACAGGCAACTAGCTGCGCCGCATCTCCAGACTGCCAACGGCCTTCCGACCAGGCAATCACGACTTGGCAGTCAACAGGCGTGGATGACCAATCGCATTCGGTGATCGTTGTCCGCCTTCCGAAATGGCGATGTTCTGCAACATGGTCGCGATAACCTGGAACGCCAATGCCAACGGACAACTAGTGCAGTTTGTGACACCATCGCTAACAACTGCCGGCATCCAAATAATGGTAGTTACCATAACCTGCGAAAGGGGGCTAACGATACCCGCCAATAGTCGGGCACGGGAATATAAACAAGTCCCGAAAAAGATGTCTTGGTCTTTCTGGCCGGTGACAAATACAGCGACACGCCACGTTCGAGAGTCAAGTGTTGGTAATTCCCCAAACAACAAACAGGAGAGACTGAAGAAGAAGAGAATCCCCAAAACGAGACCGCTTGTACCAGCAAGCATGGGCTCCATACGCACACCAACCCGCTTCCCATGCCGAGAAGGGGTCGATCCGTCTCCTCTGGGACAGCCCTTAAACTTTGCCTTCTCGGGTAGAACAGCAAAAAGCCGGTTCCTAAAGGCAGCAATGACAGAGTATATGTGCACATGGTCCTCCACGGACCGCGACGGCCGAGGAATCCCAACGCCCGAATACATCAAACTCTACCGCACCTGGGGACAAGGCGGCTTCGGCGTCGTCCTCACGGGCAACATCCTAATCGACATGGACCACCTAGAAGGACAAGGCAACGCCATCGTCCCGCTGGATGCAACACTTGACGGCCCACGGTTTGACGGCTTCCGTCAGTTCGCCAAGGCAGCGAAAGCGGACGGCTCGCTGATCCTGGGCCAGCTCAACCACCCCGGCCGTCAGGCGGTGGAAACAATGCAACCCAACCCCGTCTCTGCCTCTGACGTCCAGCTGATCAAGACCGACATGGGCGGTGCCACGTTCGGCAAGCCCCACCCCGCCTCACTAGACGAGATCGCCCACATCAAGGCCTCCTTTGTCCACGCAGCCGTCTACCTAGAAGCAGCAGGCTTCGACGGCATTCAACTCCACGCGGCGCACGGGTACTTACTCGCCCAGTTCCTCTCCCAAACAACCAACCTCCGCACCGACGCCTACGGCGGGTCGCTGGAGAACCGAGCGCGCCTCATCATCGAAGTAGCGGACGACATCCGCTCGCGGACGCGGCACGACTTCGTGCTGGGCATCAAGATCAACAGCGTCGAGTTCCAGGAGCGCGGGTTCTCAGCCGAGGAGGCGGCGCGGCTGTGCGAGCTGCTGGAGGGGCACCGGTTCGACTTCGTCGAGCTCAGCGGGGGCACGTACGAGGATAACCAGTGGACGCAGCCGAGGGAGAGCACGAAGGCGAGGGAGGCGTTCTTCCTTGAGTTTGCGGATGGGATCGTGCCGCACTTGAGGCAGACGAGGAGTTATGTCACGGGCGGACTGAGGACGGTGGGGGCCATGGTTGATGCGCTGGGAAGTGTGGACGGGGTCGGGCTGGGGAGGCCGGCTTGTACGGAGCCTGGCGTGGCGAGGGATGTGATCGAGGGGATGGTGGGGAGTTGTATCAGGCCGTTGCTGAATGATCCGTTGGATTTTGGTGAGACGTCGAATCTGGCCGGGGTGCAGATGAATAGGGTTGGGAGAGGGGAGGAGCCGATTGATCCGAGTGATGAGGGCGCGATTGAGAGGTTCAAGGAGGAGGTGAAGGTGAAGAAGAGTGCTAGAGGTTGAACTGAAAGCCGAAAGAGTGTCACGGCGAGCGGACAGTCACATGTTTGGCACGTGTTCATTGGAGTGTGTGATGTCTCGCGGGATGCGGCAGGAGCGATGAGGCACAGCGGTGCCACGAATTTGGAGCGCCGGTGCATGTGGCCGGGTTGAGATGTTTGTCGGAAGACAATCCGTACCTTAGTCCGTGACTGGATCAGAATCATACGTAATATGGAGCCTGGAGTTTCATCAGTCATCTGGGCTCTGGAAGGCGTAGCCATCGGTCGCCCCTTCCTTAGGTAAATGCTGTGGATGTTCCTGCCTTTGAAGCCACGGGATGACGCCATCACGATTTGGCAGGTGCGACTGACACTTTTGCGCCAAGTCAAGCTGCACTTAACCAGCCGCTTTGGTGCCATAAACCGGCGAGATTTCCAAGAGCCCATCGATGTAAAGAGTTTCAATTTCTACAGAAGAACATTCGACAATCTTCAACATCTTCATCGTCCAGGCATCCGTCCAACAAAACATCCCACTTTCAGGGGACTTTCAGGGCCCCACACAGCGAGATTGGCCCATCTAAAACCGGTGCTGGACCCATAGCCCGCCTCTATCCACGCCTATCCATTGGCGGTTTTAGTTCCGTAGTAGCTTGAGCCCCTGCCGGAACTGGAACAGTTTAGGGAACAAGCTTTTTTGGAATTGTTCGTTGACTCCGTCGGGGTTTTGTTGACGTCGAACTTTTAGACTGAAGCTCCGTCCCTCTTTCATCTTGTCCCTCGTTTCGATCTTTTGCCATTGTTCCTGTTAGTTGGTATTTGTATCCAGTAAACCATACGCCAAGCTCCATTTTCCAACAGCCAGTCATTGTCGCTTTGTGGAACGCCATGTCTGGATGAAAAAGCTCGGGACCGGATAAAAAGAGCCAAGACACCCGACGGCGTCATCCATCCAATCCAATGGCCAGGCTCGTCTACGCCCACGACCTGAGCATCGCTGACAGGCTGGTGCTCAAGAATCTCGAGAACGATATAACCCGTTTCGGCAGCGAAAAAGATGCAGACGCATCCGACGCCGAGTCGTCCTCGGACACCAATGGCTCGTCAACTTCATCGCAGGTTCTCGATCCCGAGTCTTCCGGCGCCGTCAAATGTCGTGAAGCCGGTTATGCCAAGGCAGACCGCCCCAGCTCGATAGGTACCTACGTACCCTGTGTCAACATCACCCCCTTCTGGACAGCAACTGACCATGCCGCAGAAAATGAACGGGATATCGCCGTCATGAAGGCCATGTCAGACCCTAAAAGCGATGAGTTTGAGCCGACGGTGTTCGTGTCCATGGACCTCCGTGATCTCAAGCTCCGGTTCCCAAGACTGGACAAGTATGTCCTCCAACCATACATAAGATGGGCAACACCCCTCGCCCGCCGGCCAACAGACGTCGTCTTCGTCACCCACCTCCTCCTGTACCTCGTAACCTCCCTGCCCTCCGCCATCTATCTCTTCCGCAACTTCACCTACCTCCACGGCGTCCTGCACTGGGCCATGTCCTTCTACTTCATGGGCACCTACACCCTGATGATGCACCAGCACATCCACCAGCGCGGCATCCTCAACCCAAAACTCGCCCTCCTCGACAACCTCTTCCCCTACCTCACCGACCCCCTGCTGGGCCACACCTGGAACACCTACTTCTACCACCACGTCAAGCACCACCACATCGAGGGCAACGGGCCCAACGACCTGTCCTCCACCCTGCGCTTCCAGCGCGACAGCCCCTGGCACTTCGCCTACTACGTCGTCCGCTTCATGCTCCTCGTCTGGCTCGAGCTGCCGCTGTACTTCGTCTCCAAGGCGCGCTACGGCATGGCCCTGCGCTGCCTCTTCTTCGAGGTCGGCAACTACCTCGCCTACGTCCTGCTGGCGGTGTTCGTCAACTGGCGCGCGACGCTGTTCGCTTTCGTCCTGCCGCTGACGCTGATGCGCATCGGTCTGATGGTGGGCAACTGGGGCCAGCACGCCCTTGTCGACCGCGACCAACCGGACTCGGACTTCCGTTCTAGCATCACGTTGATCGACGTCCCGGTATGTTTTTTCCCGCTCTCTCCCCCTCCCCATACACTCACACAGTTTGTGTTTCTCAATCTAACGGCAAAAACAGAGTAACCGCTACTGCTTCAACGACGGCTACCACACCAG